AAAGATAAGAAAAGAAAAGAAGAGAAAAAGGAAAAAAGAAAGGAAAAGACAAGAAAAAGGAAAAAAATAAAAATAAAATAAAAGAAAAAAAAAGAAAAAGGAAAAAGGAAAGGAAAAGAAAAGAAAAAGGAAAAAAAGAGTAGAAAGAAAAGAAAAGAAAAGAAAGAAAAAGAAAAAAAGAAAGAAAAATAGAAAAAAACAGAAAAGAAAAAAAAGAAAAAAAAGAAAAGGAGAGCAAAAAAGAAAAAAAGAAAGAAAGAAAAAAAAGAAAAGAAAAGAAAAGGAAAAAAAAAAGGAAAAGAAAAGAAAAAGGAAAAAAAAGAGTAGAAAGAAAAGAAAAGAAGAGAAAGAAAAAGAAAAAAGAAAGAAAAATAGAAAAACAGAAAAGAAAAGAAAAAAAAAGAAAAGGAAAGCAAGCAAAAAAAAAAAAAAAAAAAAAAGTTACCCTATTAACACAGTACGGCTGAAGTTGTACACTTGTGAAATGTTGTGACAGTTACATCATTAGCTAAAGTGGAAGTGAAAAATCATCAAGAGCTGAATTTTGTCATTTTTATTTATCTATTTATTTTTACTTTATTGAAACATAACAACTGGCTTCTACTTAACTGCTATATACATTGCTTACATTTAATGATACAAAATATAATACTTTCGGAATTACTTTTACTAATAAGTAAATGTGCATGAGTGCATGTGTGTATGTATATATGTATACGAATGTGTATGTGTGTGTGTATATGCATGTGTGTATGAGTGAGTATATATTAGTGAATGTATATGCGTATATTCCTGTATGTATGTATGTATGTATGTATGTATGTATGTGTGTATGTATGTGTGTGTGTGTGTGTATTTGTGTGTGTATTTGTGTGTGTATATGTGTGTGTATATGTATGTGTGTATGTGTGTGTGTGTATACATGTGTGTATGTGTCTGTGTGTGTGCGTGTGTGTGTGTGTGTATGTGTGCGTGTGTGTGTATGTGTGCGTGTGTGTGTATGTGTGCGTGTATGTGTGCGTGTATGTGTATGTGTATGTGTATGTATGTGTGTATGTGTGTGTGTGTGTGTGTGTGTGTGTGTGTGTGTGTGTGTGTGTGTGTGTGTGTGTGTGTGTGTGTGTGCGTGTATGTGTATGTGTGCGTGTATGTGTGTGTGTGTGTGTGTGTGTGTGTGTGTGTGTGTGTGTGTGTGTATGTGTGTGTGCGCACGCGTATGTATGTGTGTGTGTGTGTGTGTGTGTGTGTGTGTGTGTGTGTGTGTGTGTGTGTGTGTGTGTGTATGTGTGTGTGTGTGTATGTGTGTGTGTATGTATGTGTGTGTGTATGTGTGTGTGTATGTATGTGTGTATGTGTGTATGTGTGCGTGTGCGTATGTGTGTATGTGCTTGTGTGTGTGTATGTGTGCGTATGTGTGTATGTGTGCGTATGTGTGTATGTGTGCGTGTGCGTATGTGTGTATGTGTGCGTATGTGTGTATGTGTGTGTATGTGTGCGTGTGCGTGTGTGTGTATGTGTGTGTGTGTGTGTGTGTGTATTAGTACATGTGTGTGCAACATCAGCACTTCAAAAGATTGCTTAAGGTTTCTCTCTACCCAAAGAACTTCCCTGCCTATCTAATTCTGAATGTCTTAAATCTAGAAAATAAATAAATAAATAAAAGTTGGTAAAGATACTATCAATGATCCAACTATTCAAAACTTTACAAAAAAAACTAATTAACTTAAAAAAAAAACAGAGCCACTATCTGTTTTAAAAGACCAAACAAGATAGAAATGATAGTTGATCTTTTCATCATTGGCTCCTGACCACAGTGTATTACAGAAAAGTAAATTCCTCAAACATGATCTCTTCTGCTGAAATTCTCTGCTATAGGCGATTGTGCCAACAGTACAGAACGTGAAGAAATATAATATAAAGCCAGACAGAAATAATAACTTTTAATGATGTCCCTCGAATCTATACAACTCGTCCTCTGTTGGTATTCCCCCACTTTAAAACCAATTACAAATAGCCAACTGAACAGCAGATTAATAGCAAAGGGCATCACCTGTCCAACCTGTGTTCTGTATTCTGCCACCTCCACATCCACCTGTCCACTGCCCATGTGGTAATGTGCCATTGAGCCCAGTAATGGATTGTTTGGTGCAACCATCCCTTCCATTCTTGATTATAAACAATTGTTTATGATTAGAGATATCAAGTCACAAAGAGCTTTCCTGTTTACTCTATTATAAAATATCATATATAGTTTTATCACACTGGCAAATTAATGACTAATTTTGGAGAATAATCACATATTCAAGTACATAATAAAATGATCCAGTTTTCCATTTGGTATCAAATCAACATTGCAAAATGAAAAAGACAAGTCTATAACATATAGTATACACAATCTCTCACAATCACATTTGAAAATAAACCCACAACTGCACAGAAACAAAACACTCTGAAAACTGGTGTTACTTGGTAGGTCAATACCAGAGGGATAACTTATAAATGCCGAACACTGTAGTGAATATTATCTAACACTACCTTCCTGATGCAATAGCAACACATTCTCTTACTCTTGCCCTGCTTTTATAATATAGTTTTTGTACTGCAGATCCTCTTATTTTGCTATATATACACACAAATTCATCTTATAAGAGGTGCATTTCTTAGTCTACTTGCCATTACTTCGTAGGTTTGATTTTTATTTGTTCCATTTCCTAATCTTATAGGAAAGACAGAATTGTATATAACCTTACATATATGATGTTAATGGAAGGGGGGATAGTATGCTAATAATCTATGAGCTACATACTGATTGGTTTTGTAAATACTCCTACTCAGATTTCAATAACGAACAAGTCTACTGTACATTACAGTATATAATAGACAAATAAGTAAATAAAAAAAAGATAAGAAACACCCACTAAGTTTCTCATGGGAATCTCGGTTCCACGAGAATTTCTGAGATTCTGCGGCACCACTTTGGTAAAGAATCCATTACAAGAAAAAGGGGGTCCTTGAATCCCGCCCACTTGCTGATGGCTCCTGCCACCTTGACGCACTTGTGGTTGACAAACTCCAACAACGTACATTCCTGACTGCTATGACACAAGGAAAAAGAATCCTTCAGTCCTATACCACTAAACAGTAGAAGCGTGTAGGATGAATGACAGAGAATATGTTTCTTTCATTCATTCATCCACTTACTCACCACATGTATCCATGGACACATAAAAACACACACACACACATATATATCCATTCAGTAATTCGCTGACTCAAAAGTACTCACACACTTGCTACTAATCATACTAAGACACAAAAGTACGGTACATATAAAATAAAAACTTGGTTTTCCAAGTATCTGCCTAATTCCCTAATGTGCATGCACAATGCTTCAAAACAATTCCAAAATATAAACTTCACATACCTCTCACTATAACTCAAGATTCATAACAAACAACAGCAAAAGCCATGACCATGTATATAAAACACCAAATTCTCAAGGCATATATGAGAATACAAACAAAATGGCAACCCATGCAATTGCATATGTGAAAACATATTCATATAATAAAAAAATCTTCAGTTTCAATGAATGTCTACATTTTGCACAATATGTTACTTTATTATTGGCCTCTTGTTGCATGTATTATATATCATATGTATCATACATATAACATATATTGTATATATATATCCCATATCTAAATATCATACATATATCACGTTTTACATACTGTGCCTATACTGTACACTATCATCCTGCTATACGTGTGAGAACTGGTGCAATGAAATCTCTCCCATGAAGCCATCTGTGACTGACAGGAGAAATTAAAAAGTGTGATGTGATCAATCATGAAGGATACTTTACTCTATTGTTGCCCACTCTCCTTGCTGCAGGGAACCTCACCCCCATATTCTGTGGCAATTGATAATCATCATTAATGTTATATTTTCATGTATCACACACTCACTGCTAATCATACTCCTGTCTTTCCTCTCAGCCTCATGCCTCTCATACAGAATAATTGCCTTTGGTACCATAATACAGAAACACTGAATTCAGTCTTTGGCTGTTATTACTGAAGTTTCTAACAGATGTAGCCTTCCTTGTGATTTTTACCAATACTTAGGCCAGTCAGGCTACATTTTCAACCATTCTGCCATTTTAACAAGCTCTATATTAAGTCTACATTATCAGTAATTTTTCCAAATAAAGGAACTTCTTTATCACTATGCCCATCTCAACATATCATCATTAATATACTCCAACACATATAAATATCAAATATTCAAACATAAAAAAAATATCATAAAATGTGTTGATGCCAATGTGTGCCAATAGTGGTGCCAGTTTCTTAACTATTTTTTCTGTAAATCTATATTTCTATTTTCCAAATATCTTGATCTCTATGTCAAAAGTAAGAGAAGCTGCTGGAGTCCAATTATAATGGATGGATGAAAAAAAAATATATATATTATAAATTTTGTTACCTCAGTTAAACATAATATTTGGC